ATTTAAAGCTAGAAAAAGAAAGTCATGCCAACTTGCTCATCGAGTATACCGCATTCAAAGCTTTGAAAAAGCTATAAGAAAATATTTAGGACAAAGTTGAGCTAAGCATTGGATAGAGCTGGAAAAGCTCTTCAAAATGATATCAACATCAATTGCAGCTTTCCTAGATTTCAAGGGAAATAAAGCATCCAAAAGTGGAGTGTCAGAAAACGACAGAACTTTCTGAAACACCTAATACCTTTTTGCACCTCATGCCAGAACTTCGTTGAACGATTTCTGAATATGCCCGTAAGCTTCGAAGAACCCACTTGGTGAATTTATACCCTAATCGTGGCCGACTTAGCTATTTTCTTTGAACTCAAAATCGAAAACGAAGAGAGCCTGTTCTCCACACTTTGATTTATAAACCTCTACTGGGCCACAGATTGATCGAACCTAGGAGTTACATTCGCTTTGTGATCTCTTTGTCGTCGTTCTCCATGCGGTATCAGAATGGTGAAACCTGCTTCTCTCTGGAGACTACAGCCTGGAGAAAATCCTGACCCGGAAGGCAATCGGTGTCCGATTTGGACCTGCTGTGCTCTACCATTGAAGGCAACCCGCACGAGTTATTTTGCTGTGTGACCGCCACATTAGACATTTCAGTACACGGTTGATAGAGGTCTGCCTCCTTGGAAAATTGTAGAGGCTTGGACAAAGAAATCCTCATGAATTGATCACAAGAGTGCAACACGAGTTCTGTCAACATCTTCTATCCTATTCCATCCCTACGCGGTGGCTGAACAACGGCGCTACTGCTGATGAGAAGTGGTTGTTCTATGCTAACGACCTGCAAAGCATCAGTGGCTGATCGATCAGAAGGGCTGAAAAACTGTCAAATACAGCAAAACGTGTTGGTCCACGTATGGGAGGCAAATGTCGAATCAGCTACTGGGAATTCTCTCCAGCTTCGGCCTTGTAACAGAACCAGGTCTTGATCAACACCTGAACCTGCTCAGAAACTCCAACTATTACGCCCAAAATTCAATAAAGTATGTCCACTCCACAACAACCGAAACCACGTGTTTCGAGAATGGCACGGCTCTGGATTTCGATGCCTAGTTGTGAAGTGCTACCAGTACCACCATGCAGCGGTGATCAGCCTCCTTTCAAAGGCCAACTATTCTTTTGCTAAGGAATCATCTTACAGACAAAAAATACGATTCAAAAAGGAGCTCGAAATCGACCTCACTGCCTTTTCCAGCTTGAAACTGCCGACCTTCTGGGAGCACGGCGTCGACACTCTGGTGGATCGTTGGCAACAAGTCACTGATAGCAACGGTCCATATATTGATGATGGATATTGCTTTTTGTTGAGATAACGTTAACTGAAAAAAAAATGTTCGCAAGTGGCACGAACTTTTGGGACAACCTAATATTAGGTTGATTCATAAGTTCATGCCAATTTTCTCATACCCCCACCATCTTTCCTGGAAAATATTGTGTTGTCCCCGCAAGGGACTATGTGGCGACTTTAATGACTTCTGATATTACATAATTCGACCATCAGCACTCTACTACTGTCTGTTTTACAGATTCCGTGTTGACCACTCAGGCAGACGAGCCTATCGGATTACTTGTGAATCTAGAGGACCTAATTTGCTGGAAAGAAAAGTCCTGTTAGAAGGATTTCGGCAAGCTTCCCGCGGGGCGGCTGCGGCCCTGTAGACCAAACGCGTTTCGGACACCCAATGATCGTAGATTGTGAAACGCACGCAAGAGTTCTTGAAATAACCCACACCTATTACCCCAAAACTGCAGTAGGGCTTTCAGTAACTTAAGATCATATGTCGTTCTTTGACCCTGAAGAATTGCCAACAAAGCTGGGCAAATGGATTCTCCAACGAGTAGCGACTGAGTTGCCAGAAAGCCAAGTGTGATCACCTCCTAAACTTTGTCTAAAGCATTAGTTCCCATTTGCTTGCCAGGAGGTCACAGGTGTTGAGGAGTGCGTGGTCTGCCCAAGCAACATACGGAGGCATCAGTGGGAACGTCCAGCTCAGCAGCGACAGCGAACCTCAGTATGGGAACTCCCCCCGTAGTAGGTCCCGCTCTCCGATTGCAGGATTGCATCATTATAAACTTCAAACAATATCACCACTGCTTGGCACACTTAGGCTTAACCGCTATTTTTTCCCATAGGTCTAAATTGGGGCTTCAATCACATGCACTGTTTCAATTGCGCGCAAAGCCTGCATTTGTGCCTCTAGGAATTCCCTGCTTCTTTACTAATCTCAAATGGGTAATATAGAAACCAACCAACACTTGTTCGCTTTTTTGCTCTTTTCCCAGTTTTTGGGGTGCGTAGCGTTTCTCCTCCTGGGGTCAGGTCATCTAAAATTGAGACGCCGTTCGTTCGCCTCGGAACAAGCTCAGGACTAAGCCAAGGCTCAGTCATAGGCTCAGACATGAGCCAATGTATGGGCATAAAAAGCTTAATATAAGTCTAAATCCAAACTTGACGTTGGAATGCTGCAACAGCAATCGGCGCCAACTTGTGGTAAACCTGACCCTATAGGAGAGAAACGACACGTCCCCCATGTTCCCTAATCTCCGACAAGAGTGACAAAAAGGGGGCGAGGCGAATTGAAAGATTGGGTGCTGAGCGGCAGGGACGTCTGAAGCCAGCCGTCTTGGACCCTCCCATGAGCGCTCGACTTTTCAATGGAGTAGAACCGGGGCTCGTCGCGATGCTCTGCGTGGCTCACTGGCCTCCAGGGCGCACTTCACCCGAGGTCGTTGGACGCGTGAAGACGGCCCTAACATGTGAGACAGTCTTGTTTGCGCATCGCGCTCGATTTCGGTCTTTTTATGCCGCGCTGGGACTGGAGTCGATTTGTACTGAGCGACCCATCTCACATCAAATCCGTGGATTTTGCTGTATATACGCAATACTCAGATGCGACAATGTGTTTTCAGTAATTTTCGTGTGTATAGCTCATCGGGAATAACAAGAGCGGAATTGACGAAAGATGGCGCGCGGATTTAGCCAAATAAAAGGCTAAAGTTTTTAATTACCTTCTTGCGTTTCAAAAAATTTGAAACGTAATGGTCATCCATAAAAACTATCGTGGTTGCCAGTAATATTAGGTTTTGTAATTACTTCACCATTATTTTTTTTATGTCTTTAGTACGCTTGTTTATCATACTGAAATAGAAGAATGAATGAAAAAATAGATCATAAAGTAATGAAAAAGAAATGGGCGGAAGTGGTGTAGTGGCAAGTGGCACTTACCACGCGAGCGGTCCGGGGATCAAATCCTGGGTCGTGAGTCGCCCGGGCCAACCAAGCCTTCCATCCCTCCGGGGTCGGTTAATTGGTACCAGACTTGTCTGGGAGGATAAAAACACTGACTTGTACATCGGCTGGCCCCGCAAGTCATTGTATAGGCCACATCGCATTCAAACGCCACTACGAATGTACAAATGGAAGTAGAATGCGTGCCGCATCCCAAAAAGGGATTGATCAACGGCAAATGCTTTATCCTTTTTTCTTTAAAGAAAACGAGGAATGAACTAAACTGACATTTCGCAAAGCCTTCAAAAAAAACTTAAAGAACCTTTAAAAACCAAATTAGAGAATACTTGGCCTTTCTGCGAGCCACTCGGTCTTTGAGTATGCTAACGTGTGTTCTATAGAGTGAGCACAAAAATTTTTCAAACAAGACGGGCATGTGAGAAAAAATTGGTACCAAGATGCTGACGCGCATGCGCGTCAGCCTCGACGTGTTGGACTGCGTGGAATTAATTGGAGAGTAGGAGGAACCGCATGATTGTCTCTATATCATTCTCTTATTATGAGTCTGCCCCATTGGTTCACTAATTATTAACAGTATTTCAGGAAGCGTACACCTATTTCGGTGTGCGTGAACAGAACAATCCTTTCCTCTACATCGTAGTTCCTGAGCATCTGAGAAACTCGACAATACATGAGCAGCTGCTGAAGAATAGTAAAGAACTCGTCACTCCTCACGACTTGCACTCCACCTTGAAGGATATTCTTTATGTGAGCTCACAGATCTTTATTGCCAAAAATACGAGTGCATAGAATCAAATCCTTATCGCACACTTTGTTCCACAGCCAACCACCAAAAGCCAGTAGTATTCATTAGAACTGGTGCTCATTATGTCGCTTACAAACGCAGCCTCATCTGATACGCTTTTAAGGCAGGGGAGATAAGTCAACATGTGTGGGATAGTGAGTCTGGTTAGCCGTCACCCACGGATTCTGCAATATGGATCAGAAAACTTCGAATCCGTGCGCCACGGAACAAGCCGTCCAAGCTGTTAAAATCCCGTCCTCGATAGCTATTGCTCAATCCCTCAAAACACCTCGTGAATGTTTTTGAGGGGCCACTCGGTATTCAATGTCTCCAATGAGCCGACGAAAATCCCAGTCAAGCCAATTAGTGTTTGATGACCTGTTGTGGCTGTGGTTGCCTTCAAGCACTTGGTGATCGTTTCGTTTCTCCAAAGAAGCATTTCCGCAGCCTTCTCGGTGGTATAAAGTACTAGCTGGTCTTCCGAAACAGGAATTTACGAGCAGTTGCGAGATATTGAGCGAACGGCTGCCCCTTGGAAAGATTCACTGGCTCTATCGGAAAACGGACATCATTCTTCCCACTGACAAACGGCTTATTATGGCTCCTCCTAATCCTCGTATATACATATAGCTGGGACTTTAAAGACAAGATTCGGGATAAAATAGGTGTGGAAAAGCGTTCAGTTATGGACCTATAGGTGGTGGGGGTGGGGTCATTTCGCCCCCTCCTTCCTTAAAAAGTGGGGTCTAAAACTTCTGGCAAATGGAACAACGGACGTTTGTCCCTGCTTAGTATTGATGATATGTACCCATCATTAGGTGGCGAGAGGTTATCGCAAGGCTACCTAGCTTTTCAGGAAATGAGTGTAGTGGCCAGGGGAACGTGTTTCATGAGCAAATTGTACTGACTTAAAGGCACGCTCCACGATTAGGCGGGCTCGCCTGCTCCATCCAGGGGGGTAGTAGGCAGATGGACAAGTGTTGATGTCGGGCCCCTTTTCCGGCTTGAAAGTACGCGATAAAGGCGCAAGGAGTTCGTGCAACCCGCGACTCACACCTTCGTCCGCAAGCCCCAC